ACTTGGTAGTCCAGGCTGGCCTCGAACTCACAGAGATCCACCTGGCTCTGCCTCCCGAGTGCTGGGATTAAAGGCGTGCGCCACCACCGCCCGGCGGTAAGGAGGATTCTTGAAGGATCATCCCAAAGCACAGTGACGTCATGCTCTCTGCACCCGTCATGATGCTTCCTTCCCACCCTCTCCGCCTTCTCTTCCTTCCATCCACAGCCATCTTGAGTGGCCATCCCACTCCTTCCTCCCTGTTCAGCCCCTCGATGTCTCACTTTCAGACTCCGGATTTGTCTTTCCCTCAACGAAGTGCTCTCTACACAAAGGGTGACATGGATTACTGTTCACGCCCAGACTTTGCAAAAGAAGGACACAGATCTTTTCACCGTCCCCCTTTCCATCATCCCATGACTAATCCAGGTATATTTCAAACAGGCAGAGTGATCCTGGGATGGAGCAGTATTGAACGCCAACCTTGTTAACTCACTGGATAAGCATTGTTCACTCAATATGCATTTAAAATGCATTTGATCGGCACTGTGTTCCTAACGCTGTGAAGAGTCCCAAGGGCTTCACTGAGTCCTTCAATGAGATTTGTTGGATGGCCTAAGGAGGAATGGACTTTTTCTCTTTGAGAGTGTGGAGAACTTGCGTGTATGTAGAAAGGTGTGTGAGGTTTTGGATATCTCAGACTAATACAGAAAATGTGGACTTTCAGCACCAGCTGTGCTGTGGTGACCTGAAGCAGTGAGGAAGGATGAGAGAACTGGCAGCTGGCGCCTCAGGTGACCCACGTGCCAGGTGCAGCAGGCCAAGGGGAGGAAGGCGGCATCAGGATGGGCAGAAGGTTGTTAAAGGTCTGCAAGGCTCTGCCACCCTGCAGAGGCTAACTCTGCCTGGACCGATGCTGCCACTCCATCCCTGCCTGGCAGCACACCTGCTGCGTTCAGGAGGGTGAGCGGCAGCCTCCGGGGCAGCAGAGCAGACAGTGGAGAACAGAACCACTCTCCGAGGTTCGAGGGAAGCAGTGGAGTGGAGAGATGCTCCTGTTGGAAAGACTCCCGTGCCTCTGGGGCAGCGTGTGGGCAGTGTGTGCATTAGTGAGAGCAAGGACAGGAGCGTCCTGAGGAACGGCTCTGAGCACTCGACCTGTACCACTGCTGATCGTGATGTTGCTAGGCGCTGACAGGAGCAGAGGTGGAGCAAAGCACATTTGGCAGTTGACCCCAAGAGGAGAAGCATTTCATAGGGATTTGGGGCTGGGACAGACATGGTCACTCATGCAGACCTCTGCCAGAGGTATCACTAAACGAATGTATCAAATATGGGCATGAAGCCTTTAATGTTAAATTTTGCTCATTGAAAACTGTTTCCCACTTGGTATTCTTCATTTTTTTCTGAGGCCATTTTGTTTGTTGTGTGACACAGCCTGGTCACCTTGACCAGTTGCACACAGCCTGGTCACCTTGACCAGTTGCACACAGCCTGGTCACCTTGAAGCACAAGTGTGTTACTAGTAAACCCTGATACTTCTCTAGATGTTTCATGTGATTGGTTTTGTCACTTAGTGAAACATGTCATTATCTGTGATCTACATAAATATAGGCTTTCCCTTTGAAAGGAAAAGTGAGTTGGTTTGTTTCTATTTCTAAGCACTAATTAGTGTCTCTGAGAAGAGAAGGGCCTTTTTGGTTGAAGCTCTTGGTACCTACGCATAATGTGATTCCTGCCTGCCTGCCTGCCTGCCTGCTCTCCAGGCTGGGTAATCAGAGAGGGAGAAGCTTCGTTTCTAGCCTGGGCCCTTTGGAGGGGCAGAGACATGTGCACACCTGGCTGTGAGTGTGTTTCATCCTGTCACTAACCTTGAGACGCTTGTTTCGGAATAATTAGAGCCATAGCCACACAGTTCTCTAAAATTAAACTTGGTCTATTGGGTGTCCCTATAGATTATTTTAAGGGGGCTCAGTTAATCTGCTCAAAGCGCTTATTGCTATTTCTGATATGGACGATGCTTGTGATGGGCTAATATCTTTCAGTGGCTAGTGACTAGGGGGCATGTAAACCAGTCTGGACTGCAGAAACAGTGAGTGGTTAAGAGAGGGCCCTCTGCTCCCCCCGCCGCTGCTGCCCACTCCTTCATAGCCTTGCACAGGTTGCTTGCTTTCTAAAAGCCTGGCTTTCCCATCTCTGAAACAGGAGGCATTCTGCCGACAGCATCATTATTTAAGCAAAGTGAGTAAAGCCTATGAGAGAGAGCATCATGTGAGTATGCTATTGGCAGTCTGTAAGAGTGTGTAAATGTGATCCCCACACCGAGAGCCCAGGTGTTACAAAGGGAACTTGTGTGCTAACTGCCCTCCTGACACACCAGCAAACAGCAAAGAAAAGCACCACAGAGGGGCTTGCTCTAGCTCAGAGCCTGAGATGTTACAGTCACGTCCTTGGTCTGTTGAACTGGCCCCTGTGAGGCAGAGCACTATGGAGGGCGGGGTGTGTGGCCATGGCTGCTGGACTCATGGGGGACAGAACGCAGAGAGGAAATATGGAAGGGGCCCCTAGTGGCCCACCTCTTCTACAAGGCCCAACTCCTGTATTTGATCACCTCTCAATAATGCCGTCATGTGACGAATCCATCAAAGGACTAGGCCGGAGCTCCCAGGACGAACACGTTCAGAGTAATTGGGCTTATAGTAGATTAATTTGTTTTTCGGTTGAAACATAGGGGTTTTGTTCATGGAGAGGCAGTGGCACAAGACTCGCTTTTGAAAATGAGCAGATACTTAAAGGGGGCGTGGAATTTAAATATCTGTAATCAGTTATCCATCACTGTGACCTTAAAATCTTAATCCCATACCTGAAACTCCAGGATTGCCCACAGACTTCTTAGCACATTCTGGTAAGGTCTAAATGTAAGAATACCTCCCGTAAGACAGTCCTGAGCCTCTTATCTCACAGACTTTGGGATATATATATAATGGTGGGGATTGTCATAGAAACCTAATAGTGTTGTGGGGAAACCCTCTAACTCCCAGGTGTGGTGAAACTGAGGCTTGAGAGAAGATAATGCACTCAAGGCCTCCTCCCCCTCTTCAGTGTGAATCAGGATTCTCTGAAGTGTGAAGTGTTCTAGGTAAAAATGTGTGTTCAGAGCTCTAATGAAACTTCCACAAGGAAGCTTTCAGAGCTGCTGCTGTTTGCTTATGAATTAATTCCTTTTGTTGTTGTTACTTGTGATAAAGCTAGGGTCAGTGGCAGAAGACACACACACACACACACACACACACACACACACACACCCTGTTTCAAGTCGAAAGAGAAGCATTTCACAGTTCCGAGAAATGAAAAGAAAACAAAAGCAGCTGAAAGCTACTGACCCCTGTGTGAACAATGCCCTAATTCTTGTGGTGACAAGTGTACCTCAATTTCTGATGTAGATCCATACAAATATTTAATAGGCTGCTTTTAAAAGGGAGAAATCTTTTTATAATTTTGTGGTAAGCAAGTTTAAATAGAGGCATGTGTGATGGCATCTGTTCACTATTTTTTTTTTAATGGCTTAGGAGCAGGAGGACGGCCAGTCAGGCTTTGGAGTCACCTCTCCTGTGATTGCCCTCAGAATGCAATAAAAAAACAAAGGTGGAGATCAGTAAGGAATGTAGGGTCAGATTTCAACATGAGAAAATATGGACCCCACCCCAATCCTCATAATCATTCATCAACAAAGCTTTTAGACCCTGGAAAAACCTAACTGACTGCTTCAATTGTGGTGTCATTAACACACTTTCCTCTGCTGAAGGCACTCTTCCCCGACCACGCCAACCTAGACGAGTTGCAAGGTATTTCCTGGTAACTCTCAGCTGTGGGCTGTGGCAGCAATATTGTGCTCAGATCCCCATTTACAGAGGCTGCAGAAGAGGACAGTTTCTTTCCCTTCCCATGTTCCTCATGCTCAGTAGCTCATCTTCCATGTTTCCACTTTGCAAGCTTCTGCAGATTTGTTATAAAAGCTCCAGAGTATGTTTGCATGATGCAAGTACTCCGGGCTGAAAAGGACTTTTCACTTTTTCCCAGAGTTAGAAACTCTCTTGGGTCTGGGGATGGAGCTGAGTTTGTTGAGGTGGGTAGCGTGCAAGATGCCCCGGGTTCAGGCCCCAGCACCATGTCCCCAGATGTGATGGCACCTTCTTTCTGTGAGTGTAGCACTGCAGAGGTAGAGGCTGGAGCTCTGCATGGCTCCCGGACTGGAGGTCAGTTTCTGCTGTGCTTATTATTGTCTGGTTGTTGTTTGGGGTTTTTAAGGGTTTTTTTTTTCGTGTGTGTGTGTGTGTGTGTGTGTGTGTGTGTGTGTGTGTGTGTGTGTGTGTGTGTACTTACTTTTGTTTTGGCTTAGTTGATTTAATAGGTGTATTCTGAAGTAATTGGGAAGACTAGTGTCAATGGAAAATGAATATATCACTCCTTGGAAGGCTCAATGACTTGAACATATCTTATTTTTTTCTGAGTATGTTTTCATTTGTATTTTGCAGCAAATGTGTGTGGCTGTTAACATCATCTATTAACGTTAACTCACTACCAGAGACAAATGTGTGTGGCTGTTAACATCATCTATTAACATTAACTCACTACCAGAGACTTCCCTGGTCTCTTAGGTTCTGGTTGAGAGGAGAATGACCCAGTGGGAAGGACAGAACACGGATGTGAGTGGAGGCAGTGAGGAGCGTTAGTAGTGGTCCACTGTGTATCACAGAGAAGCTTTCATATACATCTAGTCAGAAATATCCATGGGTGCTCTGTGACACATGAAAGTTAGGTTCCAGATGTTTTCCCAAGATTCATCTGCACACAAGGTTTCTTTCACAAGCCTTGTCCCAAGCAGACCCTGTGCGCAACATGAATAAACAAGGGTCGTGGAAGTAAGGCAAGCCACGCTACTTTTACTAGACCTGGGGTTGCTGCGAGGTCTGGTGCAAACGCTCAAAAACCTGACTTGCTTTACCGGTCTCTCCTTCCAGATGCTGCACAACAAGCATGTGATGGTCCGCGTGGGAGGAGGCTGGGAGACCTTCGCAGGCTATCTGCTCAAGCATGACCCCTGCCGCATGCTGCAGATCTCCCGTGTGGACGGCAAAACATCCCCTGTCCAGAGCAAATCCCCAACCCTGAAGGACATGAATCCAGATAACTACCTGGTGGTCTCTGCCAGCTACAAGGCTAAGAAGGAGATTAAATGAAACTGGTCCCTGAAAGGGGACCCATGCAATGGCCTGTGTCCATTCTACCGTGTAGCCAATGTAGTTCACATGCTCTGAGAGCCACACACATCATCAGGCAGGAAAGGTCTCAAAAGGTAGCACTATTTATTTTTAATGCATCTGTAGAACTTCGCCTAAGGGAACAAAATTCTAAACTCAGAACAAAATCAGACAAATTGTAAGCAAATCATTATTTTTCAATATGTGAACATAGTATTTAGAACAAACCGTATTAGGAACTCCGTTCTAGTTACAGCCATTGGAGGTGAACATGCCTAGGAGACTGTATTTAGCATGTATGGATAGGTCAACAGAAAGTGCCTGCTGTATGTCTATGAGCTAAAGCACCCCAGACACTTTTATAATGGGATTTTATAGCTATTTTTTACAAGATGACAATGTGATAATGTGCTACTAAAGTTGTCCAGCAGCACTATACAGTACAGAGAGTCTTCACAGCCATAATACTTAACTGGAAGGGCCACTTCAGAGATGTTTACATTCACTTGCAAGATTGCCTTAAAGTTCATCTCTGATCCCTGACCAAACCAACCTCTGGGGTGCTTTGGATGTTGCCTGTGCAGCCCCTTAGGAATAGCAGGTATCTTTCACACACCGACACACACACACACACACACACACACACACACACACACACACACACACACACACAGGAGCTATGTTTAGGATCACTTAGTGAAATTCACATGTATAAGCTGGCATACATTCACATGTTGATGTGCAGACCGCACAGTCAAATGTTCATCAGCTTTGTGATTTTGTTTATTTCAAGCATTTTCTTATTAAAATATATCCTAGTTAGTCCTATTCTGCTATGCTGTCTCATGAAGTAAATTCACTGTAGTGAATGATGTTACAGACTTGTATACCCAGGACAGGGCTGTTTTGTACCAATGAACAGCAAGATATTGTCCACACTGATTTAAGAATTAAAAATGAAAAATTTAAAAAAAAACACACATTATCTGTCTCTGTATCAGTGCTTCAACCTAAAATAAAGTTAATCTTCAAACTCCTAATTTCCTAGCAAATAAGAAGAGTGCCAGGTTGTGGCTGTGTAGAATACCTTTACATGGGGAAGGGGAATGGAGGTAGTGTTTATTCTCAGTAGCAAAGAGTGTGAACTAGACCATGGGAAGGACCTTAAGTGTCTGTGGTAGTTTGAATGTAATTGGCCCCTGTAAACCCAAAGGGAATGGCGCTGAGGAGGTGTGGCCTTGTAGAGTAGGTGTGGGTTTTTTCTGGAGGAAGTGTGTCACTTTGTGGAGGCTGACTTTGAGGTCTCATATATGCTCAAGATACCACCCAGTGTCTCAGACCACTTCCTGTTGCAAGCAAGGCATAGTATGCCCAGCTACCTCTCCAGCACTGTGTCTGCCTGCATGCTGCCATGTCCCACCATGATGATAATGGACTGAACCTCTGAACTCTAAGCAAGCTATTCCACTTAAATGTTCTCCTTTATAAGAGTTGCCATGCACGGACTGGGGAGAGTTATCCCCCACCCCCACCTGCCCCCTGCCCCCCATCAATGTGTGGGGCAGACGGGAGAGCTGGCCCTGTGGTCCTAAGAGTTGGAAAGCTGTTCCTGACTCCCACCAGCTGCAGCACTCAGGAGAGCTGCCCCTGCACCTTGCCAGGGCAGCACAATTAGAGCCAGCCCTGTGAGCCCAGGTGTGGGTGAGCCGGCCCTGTGAGCCCAGGTGTGGGTGAGCCGGCCCTGTGAGCCCAGGTGTGGGCGAGCCGGCCCTGTGAGCCCAGGTGTGGGCGAGCCGGCCCTGTGAGC